TGGTAGACTACTTGATTACGTCACTGTATATAAATATCTGGGACACTTGATCACTAGTGACCTTAATGACAACGTGACATTCAGGCCAAATCTCGTCTCTTTTATGTGAGAGGCAACGCGATTATTCCCGATTTTAAATTTGTGTCCTTAGATGTTAAATGTCATTTATTTTCTGTATTTTGTAATATTCCATATTGTGCATTTTTGTGGTCTAATTTTACACTTTGTAGTTTTAACTCTATTAGGAGAGCACACTCACTTGTGTTTCGTAAATTATCTGGGTATTCACATTCTGTTGTACAGAGTGATAGGGCAGGGTTTGTTAATCTTTATATTAGATCCTTTGATGAAATTCTTCGGAAAAAGACATTTAGCTTTATGAGTAGACTGCACCTTTCATCTAACCCCATTGTAACAACAACATTGTACATTGGGCCATTCCAGTTTATATCTGCACCCCCCTGTTGATGTGGTCGGATTTCCAGCACTGTATGATGGGGAAAATACCCCGGAATTCCAACTGTACATGGAGAAACAGAATCTGGAAATCCAGACGAGTATAGAAAAAAAATTCCTGGAAATCCAGGCAGTTATGGCTACTAAAATAAAATATGGCCTAGTTTATCTCGCCACATACCGGTTGATGAGGTTGGATTCCAACAGTATGACTAAAAAATATGTAATTGTGACTGTAAATGGTAAAAAAATTGGGCCAGTATGAAATAGTTATTAGTGAAATTAGATAAGGATGGTGGCACGATTGAGCTCATCAACACAGTGAATCAGGACTAGTTTGGATTTTCATTATCAAATATAAAATTTTGAACTTGGTAAATTAGCTTATGATGAGTTATATTTGGAAATCCTACTCTGTATGGTGGCACAATGGAACTCATCAACACCATAAGTAGGAACTATAGTTTTGGATTTCCATTACTGTATGGTGAATGGTGATTTGGAAATAAAACTTTGTATGACTTATACACCCATGGAAATTATACCCTGTATGAAGTAAACACACAAGCTCATCAACAGGGGGGTACGGATATAAACTGGAATGGCCCATTTCAATTCATTCCCAGAGTTTAATATGGAAATTATGGGAGAACAGGATTTTTTGACTTGTATTTTTTTTTATGATTTATGGATTTTTTATGATCTGAAATAAACATATAATAATAATAACATTAGTGCCCACTCAGCATTGTTTTGATTTAATTTGCAGCTAGCTGTTCCAATCTTTGACACCGACATTCATGAAACTACTGTATTAACTTTTAGTTGAAGCAACGTTAATTGTTTATTTTAGGTTTACTTTGTTAATCGTAGGATTGCTAAATGGAGCATTTTGCAAGAGGCAAACAATTACAATAAAAATGGACGTATGTCAAATAAAAGTGACTGATTTGGATATTATTTTCGGGTCCGAAAAGACGTCCGTTATTCACACATTAATAAAGTCCCCCCCCCCCCCCTGCTGAACACTGAGACACGAGACTGTTCGGACAGGAATTGCCGTTACGCCTCAAGTGCAACACAAGTGACGTGCTATGCTAAACCTCCCTGTTAATGTTAAAATATCGTTTTACCTCTCAGTTTTTTTTTTTCATCCCTCTCTTTCTTGTCAATCTCAGACATAAAAAGGGTATACTGGTCTTCCATTCGCACTTCTCTATGCGACGCCATTTTCCCTTTTTTGATGAAAAAAGCGCCACCAACGGCGTTGGTTAAATAGGTTTGTTTGTTTTGTTTACCTCCACAAAACACAACGTCAAAAAGATCAAGGCGC